TTCATTTCTAGTTTTCTGTTCTCCGGTTTTTATTTTTTGTTTGGTTTTCCTTTTTCTTCTTCATTTTTTGCTTTCCTTTTATCTTTCTTATGTTTTTTTTATTTTCACTGTTCATTTCCGTGTATGTCAAACACATTTTTTTAAATAAGTGATCAAAATTTTTGTATACACGTTCAACATTGTTCGAATGCTTATTTAACATTTTCTCAAATACTTGTTCTACATTTTGGATACTTATTCAACATTTTCCAAATATTTCTTGACCATTTTCCAAATACATGTTCAACATTTTTTAAATACATGTTCAACATTTTTAATACTTATTTAACATGTTGAAATTCTTGTTCAACATTTTTTATATACTCATTCAACATTTTTTTGTACTTATCCAACATTTTTTAAATACTTGTGCAGCATATGAATACTTGTTCAACATTTTCAACTACTTGTTTCAACATTTTTCAAATTCTTGTTCAATATTTTTTAGTACTTATTCAACATTTTTCAAATACTTGTTCAACGCTTGTAGAATGTGTTTTTGAAGAGTGCTTTTTGTAATTTATATATTTGTTGAATAATTACAATGAAAAGTACAAAGTAAAGCGAAAAAGGAGAACATGAAACAGGAAAAAAAAACAGGCTGTGGACTCCTGTGCGGCTGGGCTCCCCCGACGCGAGAGCATCCCCCTGTCACGCTTAAAGCGAGACATAGGGCCACCCGGGAATAGGATCCACACACATCTACAACTTTTGGAAAATCCACATGTTGTGGGATACAACTAAATCAATGCAGACTAAATTGAATAGTCCACATGTTTTTCTAAAAAAAACATTAGTCTGTATCCCACAAGATGTGAATTTTGAGCAATAAAACTTGGTGATACCCCTAAAAAAGTTAGTTTGTTCGCTTCGATTTTTCCTTTTTTTTCACACTTTTTTTAAATATATGCTCCCTTCGTGTCATATTCTTGTTTTTGCCTTAGTTCAAACTTGAAATAAAACCGTGACAAGAATTATGAAATGGAGGAAGTATTTCAAAACTATGTAACATATTTTTTACAAATGTTCACCACAAATTAAAATGTCCATGTAGCATTAAATTTTCGGTGCATTTTTTTTAAAAAATTCACATGTTTTAAAAATATGACCGTGACAATTTAAATATATGTGCATGAGAATGTCCTAAAATTTTCACGTTGTTTTAAAATATTCACAGGATTCAAAATTTGGTTTAGCACATTTATAAAAATGTTTACACATCTAAAATATGTTTCATGACATTTTAAAAATAATCATGAATTTGAAAATTTTGTCCACACAGTTTTAGAAAAACTTTCATGTCCTATAAAAGAATGTTTGTGCTATTTTAAATCAATGTAGCAACACATAATAAAATGTTTGCACATTTAGAAAAAATATTTATGACACTTTCGAAAAATGTTCAAACCTGTGTTTATAAATGTCCACCTTGTATTAGAAAAATAATTTAATGCTAATTTTACAAATGTTCAACATGTACTCTGTTAAAGGATCAATGTATATGTGAAAAATGTACGACCTATGCACATAAATTGTTCAACATGTATTTTTGAAAGTTGACCCGTATTTGGGAAATAAAAAATAAAATTAAAGAAAACCAATAGAAAAGAATGAATGAAAGAAACCCGAAACGACACCGCAAGAGAAAACCAAAAGAGTACAATTGCACGAAAGGTTATAAAACCGGCCCAAACCAGCTTTATGGAAGCTTCCCATAAACTGTTTCTTGAGTCGACCCACTTCAACGCTCGCACAATTGAAATTCCTAGGGAGCTGTACATTTGTGTATTGATTAGACCGTTCATAATATTTTGAAGCTGTAGATGCATGTCACATTTGCGAAAAGACCCCTCGTATGCTAAACATCAGACTAGACTTGCGAGCGTCTTCCCTCACGTGAAAGGAATCTATAACTATTATAGCCTTGACTATAGCATTGCACAACACAAGAATACTTTCCGAGCAACCCCATAAAAAAACATTTGAAGATGTTGTAACATTTCAACCACACTTGCACAACCAAAGTTTGGCCATGCAACACATCCCTATTCATTGAGAAACATTTAAAAAGTTCCGGTAAGATGAAAATAACACATGCAACAAAGAAAATACAGATCCACAAACATTAATTTTTTGGAATACATATCCATAATCATTGCAACATAATGCTCACATGTTGAAACTTTCGAAACCGATAGGGAACACATATTTTTGTGCACCAGCCTTTGGTGATCCAGGCTCGCTTGAGCCCTTCGAAGCTAGATCAGTTGACCCCAAACTCGTTGGCCTCAACCCACCATCTTTCATGAGCTCAACACTTCAGTGAACTTCCTCATCGATCTTCGGTCTCCATCATGAGGATATATGAGTGAGATCCGTAAGCTTGGTGCAAGGCTACAGGAGGGACTGTGAGAGAGGATGAGGTTCGAGCACCCATGGGAGCGAAGTGCACGGTCAGTCTCCACCATGGGGTCTCCATGCCGACCTCCTAAATAGAGTGAATAGGATAAATGAGACATGATACCAGTAGAGTTGGAAAATGAAAGGCATTTGTTTAGAGGATGAGCGAGTAGTTTGGGTACTGGAGTTCTGTTCAAAAACCGAGTGAGAACAACACAACATGTTGGATCTAATCAACTGCTCCTATTTTGGGAATGGAATCATTCTCTAGAAAAAATTGTAGTTAAAGAAAAAGAGAATATGAAAAAGAGAACAAGGAAAATAATAAAAGAAGAAAAAACAAGTGGACTTGTAGCAAAACAAACCACAAGCAGAAAAGTGACGACCATGTTGTCCCTCCTGCCGTCCCCCGTAGCCAGCACGCTCCCAGGCGCCGCCTACCTCCTCCCCAGCCTCACCAGGATTCCCATCCTCCGAACCCCACCGCGAGCCAGCATGAGCGCGGCCGCCTCCACGCCGGACGCAGTTCCGTCTCCCGCCGCCGCCGCTGTCGGCGAGGAACCGAGGAAGGTGGCCGAGGACGTGGTGGTGCAGTACGTGGTGCTGCGGCGCGACCTGGCGGACGCGTGGCCCCTGGGGAGCGTGGTGGCGCAGGGGTGCCACGCCGCCGTGGCCGCCGTCTGGGCGCATCGCGACCACCCGGACACCGCCGCCTACTGCGCGCCCGGCAACCTCGACAGCATGCACAAGGCATGTTCGACCTTTTGCCCCACTCGAACCCGCGCCCGTTGTTTGCCACTTCTCTTCCCTTATCTTCAGCGTCGGTATTTCGCTATTAAACAAAATGAATCTGCATCGCACCTCCCTCGAAAAATAATAGGCATTTGCATTTTTTTCCACATAAGTTTGCTGGCTGATTAGCTCATGAAGCCATTTATTCATCTGCATTGCGCCGTGATACTGTGATAGGGGCTGTGGAGTGTGGAGGCTTTGACATCATATAATAAATACATTGTGTTCTTGTACCAGTTTGGAGGTGCTTCCTGTGACTTGAACATCTAAACTAGAAAGCCATGAATGCCATAAACAAGGAGATGGTTCTGTGTACTCCTCTGAATTCGGGTACAATTACTATATCTGAGAAGATGCTTGTGATGACACAAGGTGGTTCTAGTATGTCCAGCCCACAAAATAAATTTGGAAACCCCAAGTGGAATTCTCTGTTATGCTGGTGCTTAATTTTGTTTGGCTTAGATATTCTTGCAAAAAGGAATTGAGCACGAACATTTTAAATGTAGTACCATTATCCTTCATTCCATTCTTCTTGTTACCGCCTGACTGGGCTATTATATAGTTTCATGTTCATTAATCCTTGTTTTGGTATTGGTACTTTTTGCAATCAGGTAACATTGGAGGTGAAAGGGGAGACACAGCTGAAGAACTTGGCTGAGAAACTGGAAGCAGCTGGTGTACGGCACAAGCTGTGGATAGAGCAGCCCGAGAACATCCCGACTTGCATAGCCACAGCACCCTGCCCAAAGTCGCAGGTAGCTTCGTTCTTTAGGAAGCTAAAGCTTTGCAAATGACTGAAGACGTAAGTTTTTAGTAGCTTTGCTGGTCTTGGTTGTCATGGGATGACATTAGTAGCTTTGCTGCATTGAGGTCACACATTTTAGTCCCATGTTATTGGTGATACCTGTTTCAGTCTTTCATCAACTGATTGTTCCTGTTTAAGAAATGGATGTACTTGTATTGGCATGACAAATAATAGTGAATCGATAAGTTTTGTGTTGGATCCACTGCTTGGCACCGTACTGATTGATTCTGTTTCAGCAATGGGTATACTGGGTTGGATATAGTGATCAGTCAGAATTTACGTCTTCAGTCTTTGATGATCTGGTGACATTTTTAGCCAGCATGTTCTTTTTAAAAAAAAATCTGTGGAGACAGCATGGTGGTAACCTCCTCTACTGTCTTGAGTGTGAAGTGCTCAAAGGTAATAACGAAGGGAAGACATCAATGCAGGTATTTTGGTAAGTAAATTGCGCACTCATATACTATATGCACAAAGTAGTTCTTATCAAGCTTAAATTGCACTGATCACAATCATTCTAGGATCGTCAATAGAAAATGTCATTTTCTGTTGAGTAAGTGAGCGGTAATATTGGACTGTGTTTTCATTTAAAATACTACTGTATTTATACTTGTGTTGACAAAAGTGAGCTGGAAATAGTCCAAACCTTAAACTTTATGTTCATTCAACACAAAGGATTACATTCCAAACCTCAAACTTTATGTTCATTCAACATACAAAGGATTACAATTTTACTCAAAATCCACCGCACTTACAAAAGCATCTGTAACGAGTAATCAAAAATACAGAAGGAAGGTAAAACCGCTCTTTTTAGTTTCTATGTACATCAATGCCCTGTTGTACTACTATATGCACTACGGTATATATACCTCTTCAGACATATGTACACACCTGCAGAAACAGCAGCACCTAGGATCATTTCATCTGAATACTTGAAAGATCAAACCACTTACAAGGTGGACCACCCTTAATGATGCTTGGGCGAATCTCTCCGCGGCGAGAAGAGCCGTCGTGGCGAAAGCATGGAGAGGAACCCCGGAGACGCGGAGCCGTTGAGCGAGTGGTAGTCTGACATCGAGAAGCCCTCAGAGTTGTCGTGGGCACTCTTGCGTCCTGGAGTCATCCGCGCGGAGAAGGTGTTGTACTTGACCATCCTGGGCAGCCACCCCTTCTTCTTCTTGGCGTTGACGCCGGTGCCGTTCATCCTGGAGCTGAGGTAGGTACGCATGGCGTCAAGGCTCTGCTCAACGATGTCCATAGGGGGGCAGACAAGCGGGTTCCCGACGGCACTGAACTTGTTGAGCTTGGCTAGGCAGCCCATGGAGTCTGGGAGCACGGAGATGGAGTTGTAGCTGATGTCAAGCTCCCGGAGCGAGGTGAGGAGCCCCAGGCCGTAGGGCAGCTCCCTGAGGAAGTGGAAGTTCTGGCTGACGTTGAGCACCTCGAGGTTGACGAGGTTCTCAAGGCCCTCGGGGAGGGCACGGATGCAGTTGAGGCGCGCGTCCAGGGCCCGCAGCGCTGTCATGTGCGAGGTGGAGAAGGGCAGGCTGGTGAGCTTGTTGGAGTTGACGGAGAGCCTCCGGAGGCTGTGGAGCTCGAAGCCCAGTGTATCCGGCAGCCTCGTCAGCTGGTTGAAGTTGGCGTTCAGCTCCTCCAGCGCACTGCACCCATGCCAACGTCACACAGGTTAAGTCAAAAGCATTCCTAGTTTCCTACCCTAGTGCAGTGAGTCAGAATTGCGATTTGCGGGTGGCGGCGTGCTTACCGGCATTCTTCGATGGTGGCGGGAAGGGACTGGAGCAGATTGCCGGAGACGTTGAGGACCCGGAGCTTGGAGAGGCAGCCGATGGAGTTGGGCAGCGACTTGAGCTGGTTGGAGCGCACGTCCAGCACCACCACGTTCAGCAGCCGCGCGATCATTGACTCTGGAATGCTCTGCAGTTTTTTAATCAAATCGTGTCAGGAGGTGAGCCTGTGACGATCGAAGGGGCATACCCCCAGGAAAAATGCTTCAGGATGTAGACGCCACGATACTTCTGGCCCTGAATCGACAAGGGCCGTGAGAGGGGACATCGTGGAAGAAGATAGTAAAAGATTGCCATGGGTGATACTGTATGGCAGTGCTGGAGCATATAGTAGTCGTCCAGTTGAGTACATGACTAGGCCTCATGTATTAATAATCAGCCATGCTTATCTTGCACTTAACCTATCACCATATATGGTACAGAAAAATGATACCACCGTTCCGAGATACGTTCTTGCTAGTTATCCATTCAAAACAGACGGAAGAAGAGACAAAACGATGGAGGCAAACTGACAAGAAAAAGTCTATGCTAGACGATGGAGGCAGACTGACAAGAAAAAGTCTAACAACCGATCGATACTCCTTTTCTTCGCATCAAGTCTATACTAGACGATTGTTCAAAAACAAGTCTATACTTGATTAGCAGAACTGTCGACGAAGGACGTAAAAGATAGCCGTGACACAAGAAAAATAACATACCTCGAGATTGTTGTTGGAGAGGTCCAAGGTGGTGATGTGGCCAAGGGACATGGTGAGGTGCGGGATAGTGTCCATGGACAGGCCGCTCATGTCCAGCTTCTTCTCCTTGACCTTCTCCTGGTCATGCTCTCCGTGCTGCAACCCTCCTCCTGCTCCTGCCCCGAACGGCACGACGTTGGCATGCCCGTGCCCATGCCTTGATCTCCTCTCTGCCATGTCCCTCATGCTACTGGCTTCTCCCACGTCTGGTCGATCGACGTATCTATTTAAACTGCAAAGAGATTGTGCCGTTGGTAACATATCAGATCGAGGATGCTTCTGACTGACACACCAGCGATTAGTATAATCAAGCCAAAGGTGTACGTTGAACAGTATGCGACTAATTAAAGATTGACACACATGAGGCATGAGGGGGAGACCTGTACCAACAAGGAAACACAAGGACGGCCAGCATTAACTGCATGTTGCAATCACAAATGCCGACTACTGCTGCCGCTAAGTCTAGTTAGTCATCGCAAATATAGAGGAAATAGTACTTTCTGGTGTGGCTTAAGAAGAAAGAAAAAAGGGTTGGTGGGAGATACGTAGCCCAGGTGGCACAGTGGTGGTGATAGAAAAAGGGGGTTTCTCTAACTGTAGCCAGTGTTTGTTGCTCTAGGGTCTAGGCAACTCAAGCTGCATCTAACGTCGCGAGCACATCGATCGTGCGTGTTCTCCTGTAGTTTCATGATGAGAGCACACGGTCAATTACGCAAAGAAAAAGAAAACGGAATGAACAAATGACGCTGAGGCGAATGACTCGCATCATGCCTACATCGATCGCCAAAAGAGAGCGTTGAAACACAGCTAACGGACCAAGCTAGCCAATGAAAAGTTAATACCATGCTCCTTGATTCCTTTGTATGCTGGTTTTTCTAGCAGAAGTTCCAAAACTTAGCTATCAAAAGCAAGAAAATGCATGGTGATTGTCAACAAATTAACCAAGTGAAAAGCGTAGAAGAAGATTGATTTCTGAAAGTACTTATGGGTTAACGGAAACCGCGGTGAGCGACCACCTCCCCAAAAGAGGTTGTTGACCACAAGAGTATTCTCGGAAGAAAGCGAGTTGAGGCAGTACGTAACACAGCGTGAGAAGCTTGTGACAATCTGCCCTCTTCCTCTTCTCAGAACAACAAATTGAGATCGCAGGTAAAAGAAAACAAATTGAGATAGAAGAGTGCAAGAATAATCAAGCATGCAGAGAAGAGCGAGAGAGAGAGAGAGAGAGGAAAACTACAACAAGAACAGCGGTTCTGACTAGAGCAGATCAACCGATGCATACGCATGCCGGTAAAACCCCATCGAATCAAACAAGAAGGAAGCATGAATAAAACTCTCACCTCACCTGAAGGCGGTGTTGGTTCCTGCGGAGGAGGAGTCTATAGATGCAACAAGTATGGCAGCAGCAGCAGACGCAGCTGCAGTTGGAGGCAAAGATAGAGGGAGGGAGCTGGAGGTGGAGAGGAGAGAGGTAGGCAAGGCGAGGCGAGGTGCGGTGAGGAAGGAGCTGACCCTTACAAGCCGAGGCTTTGGTATATAAGTAGCGGGAGGTGGAGAGCAGGCCCGGCCCTAAGGGGGGGCGAACGGGGCGGCCGCCCCGGGCCCCCAGGTGCCAAGGGGCCCCCAATTCTGTTGTTAATTAGCCTAGCGCCGTGGCCCAGAATCCGGATTTATTTCCATATACTCCAACTCAAGAAAATCGGAGTCCTACAACGTTTTCCCTGATTTCTCGGCTTTCCTTCCTCCGTGCTACTATTGAGGGCCCTTGCGATTGATCAAAAGGGAAGTTATTGCATGCGATTAATTAGACGTAGTGATGAAAAAATTCGCTCCTAATTTACTTCCTTATAATCCACAAGCCAAACAGTATACTTCCAATTGGTGAGAAAAACAGGAGACGGTGACTATGCTACACACGGGTGAGAATTAATCAAAGATCGCCGTGCTTGATGCGCGGTGCCGCCTCGAGTCGGAGGAGGGCTGGACTGCCGGAGATATGCAGTCGCTGCCTCCCATGAGACCACACCGACTCGCCGGGAGGCATTACAATTACATAGGAGTAGAAGAGAAGGTATGTCTCTAATCTTTCTTTTGAGTTCTCTATAATCTCTATTTGTGTAGGTTGTTTATATGGACTATGAAAATTTACCATCATGGTTGATTAATATTTGTAATTGATCATCAACATGGCCTCTGCGTTCTTTGCAACTGGACACTAATAATCGATTTATGAGTGTTGGTAATGGATAGATATTATTGGCGTTATCAAATTTCTGTTGGCGACTTGCCGGTAATTGCTATGGACAAATAAACTAATACTAATCCATAAGGTAGGGGTTATACATAATACAATGCTGACATCTAAATGGATGACATATGAGTGATCATGTGCATTGAAATCATCGGTTAGACTTGACAAGGTACCCGATTTTACCATAGCTGATTATGATGAAAGAAATTAGGATAAACTTAATAATAAAGCTACGGGACATATTAGTAAAGAAAATACTTATAAGAGAAAATTGTATTTTCTTTGACTAATGATTCAACATACTTTTTGCAATAATTATTTATGTTTGTGTAAAATAAGGGCCCCAAGGTTTAATCTCGCCCCGGGCCCCCGAAATCTTAGGACCGGCCCTGGTGGAGAGGGACGGGGGAGGCAACTGATCTAGCGGAGAGCTGACCCCGCAAACCCTCTCCACACCGTACAGCGTCCATGCTTGTGTTGTGTGTGTGACTGGCTAGCTTATAATTATCTATAATAGCTACTAGGCTCTGATTTATTTTGTAAAGAAAATACAGTAGATGGCTGGAAGTACTAGTGCGAGTGACTCCGCGTCTCGGCCGACCCGGTACGGCCGTACGTACGTACTATACGTCTATACGTACACATCTCTATCTCCCTCTCCCTCTCCCTCTCTCTGCATATTATTTGCCAGTCTGGGCGGCTGGTTAATGTACGAAGGTCAAGCGCATCGGATAACGGAAGGTGTCAAAGATGCCATGCCGCAACGCACCAATGGCTCCATCAGAAGTTCATCGGGACTGCTAAACGTACAGCTAGCTAGCACGACCACGAGTAGTATGAAACGCGGGTCTTGAGATGTGGTGGTAGGTGCAAATGGATAATCCCTCGTTTTCAAGTTGCAAGATCTACATGCATTTCATAGTCAACCTTGGAGTAGCAAATCTGAAAAAAAAAATTATTGACCAAAAAAACAAGTAGGGGCCGGACGCGTGTAAACTTTCGTAAAAAAGAAACTATTATCGTTTAGATGAAAATACAAGTGAAGATATGTCTCTAGTGGATCTTGTGGAATTCGCTTGGACAAGAATCCCCTGATACCACAGAGTGTCATTGGGCCTCTGACAAGTGGGCCCGCTTGAAACCCGGCCCACATATCAGTGGTCCAATGGCACCCTGCAGTATGTCAGGGAGCTGTGTCCGATTCGTTGTGCTGGTCTTTGATAGATCTGTTTGATTTAGGGTCAGTTTGGTTCATATCCTCACCTTCGTGCCTGGGAAAAGATGTTGCCTGGCTTCGGCCTGGTTTTGCTCGATTTTCTGCCTGGTCAGGCTGCTGTGGACTAGGGTTGTTTGGTTGTTGCTTGGCCTGGCAAAACATAAAATAAGATATACTAGCACTGTCATAGGCCCAGAAGCACAAAAGGCAGTCAAAACAAACATTGATTACCGCCAGGCAACAGCCCAGGCGTCCTCTTTTGACCTCTTTTGAGCGCCTAGTCCAGGCTAACTGATGTGCCTGGTCACACTCCAGGCTAAACAGGTTGCTAAGGTCACCAGGCCAGGCTAGCATAAACTTTTTCAGGCATGAACCAAACAGTGGCCAGGCACTTTTCAGGCAAGCACCAGGCCAGGCGTAACTCAGCGTGGAATCCATCCAAACACACCCTTAATCTTTGTTCCTATGTTTTCACCTTGCTTGGATCTTTCCGATCTATGCTACTCTTCATCGGTGATGGTGTTGTTATGGTGTGCTAGTTTTATGACCTATGAGGCCTTAGCACGACGACTTCCCAAATGTTTACTACAACAATGTTTGTCCGGCTCTGATGAGAGAGGTGTGATGATGGCGACGCACCTTTGATGGGGAACGTAGTAATTTCAAAAAATTTCCTACGCACACGCAAGATCATGGTGATGCATAGCAACGAGAGGGGAGAGTGTTCGTCCACGTACCCTCGTAGACCGTAAGCGGAAGCGTTATGACAACGCGGTTGATGTAGTCGTATGTCTTCACGATCCGACCGATCCAAGCACCGAACGTACGGCACCTCCGAGTTCAACACACGTTCAGCTCGATGACGATCCCCGGGCTCCGATCCAGCAAAGCTTCGGGGATGAGTTCCGTCAGCACGACGGCGTGGTGACGATGATGATGTTCTACCGGCGCAGGGCTTCGCCTAAACTCCGTGACGATATGACCGAGGTGGAATATGGTGGAGGGGGGCACCGCACACGGCTAAGGAACGATCCATAGATCAACTTGTGTATTATGGGGTGCCCCCTTGCCCCAGTATATAAAGGAGGGAGGGGGAGGTGCGGCCGGCCCCCTTGGGGTGCGCCTGGAGGAGTCCTACTCCCACCGGGAGTAGGACTCCCCCCTCTTGCCTTGGTGGAGAAGGAAAGGGGGGAGGGGAAAGAGGAAAGGGGAGCGCCGCCCCCCCCCCTTCCTTGTCCTATTCGGACTAGGGGGGAGGGGTGCGCGGCCTGCCCTGGCCGGCCCTCCTCTTCTCCCTCATGGTCCACTAAGGCCCATTAACCCCCGGGAGGGTTCCGGTAACCCCCCGGTGTTCCGATTTCACCCAGAACCTTTCCGATGTCCAAACATAGGCTTCCAATATATCAATATTTATGTCTCGACCATTTCGAGACTCCTCGTCATGTCCGTGATCACATCCGGAACTTCGAACAAACTTCGGTACATCAAAACTTATAAACTCATAATAAAACTGTCATCGTAACGTTAAGCGTGCGGACCCTACGGGTTCGAGAACTATGTAGACATGACCTAGAACTATTCTCGGTCAATAACCAATAGCGGAACCTGGATGCTCATATTGGTTCCTACATATTCTACGAAGATCTTTATCGGTCAAACCGCATAACAACATACGTTGTTCCCTTTGTCATCGGTATGTTACTTGCCCGAGATTTGATCGTCGGTATCCAATACCTAGTTCAATCTCGTTACCGGCAAGTCTCTTTACTCGTTCTGTAACACATCATCTTATAACTAACTCATTAGTTACAATGCTTGCAAGGCTTAGGTGATGAGTATTACCGAGAGGGCCCAGAGATACCTCTCCGACAATCGGAGTGACAAAAACTAATCTCGAATTAT